TGAATATCAAGGTCATGACGTAGACTATGAAAATCCCGGCGGTCGTGTAGATGCAGAAGCTCCGGAGCACGGGTACTGTCTGGTCAGATAGTAAACATCAATATTTGTGGAACCTTCTGAAGAACAGAAAGGATCATGGCATTCGGACTCGACATAGTTCTTAATCTTTCTAGCTGCAGGCCGTACTATTATCATTGGATGATGAAGAAGCGAACATTTCCTTTTTAGAAATGACAGTAGTTAGACATTGTACTCAGACTTTTTGGCTTAGAAGAGCATATACATGTAGGTCTCGCGCCTGATACTAAAGCAGCAGAATTCTAAGTGAAAGGGACTTGGGCACGAAAATTCCTCATCTTCAGTTAATTATGGGACAACCTGTTTAGGTAACTTCTGACACAAAGAATACCCGCTAGAAACATGGAATTATCATATCACGGAATCGTCCCGTCAATGCAACGTCAGAAAGCTGTCCTCGTATACAAGTAACCTTTGAGTAACCAGTACTAAAGGTTAGAAAATTACTAAGTTTCCACCTTCGAAATCGAAGCTACTTCAAAACTTAAAAGATTGAAGGCTATCCAAAAGTTACGTTTTTCAAAAGTTATCAATGATGCCTTTGTAACATTTAGATATTTCGAATCATTCCTAAAAGTTAAGGCAGTTCCCGTGATACCAGATCACTTAAAGAATTTGGAATTCACCTTTTATTAAAGACATTGCCCTCGTCCCATGAACGTTCTTTAGACATAGGGGTTTTCAACCTTCCACCCTGAAGGACGAGGAAGCATATGGTCCGAGAGGGACCTTGTGCCACGCGGACAAACACGGACCTGTCAAACGAAGGCCGCTTTCTTGAAATGGATACAGTTCAGTTTCAGAAAAATATCAGAGATGTGCCTACTTGTCGCCAGCAAGAGCTCTACGAGAACAGAATGCACTCAGATGCGACTAACACCTGCAGAAGGTGAAGAGTATCATGACAGATGAGAAATCATATGCGATATAATTATATGTACTAGCTGGGAACTCATTGTGGCATTCTAGGTACCATTTTATACCAGGAGTTGAAGATTTTGTGAAGCGCTTTGGACACGCAATTTTTGGAATACATATTCCTTGGCATTTAAGAAGAGTAGGAAGTAAGTAGCCCAAGTCACCCGATAAGATTGCGCCGCTGCCAATTCATTACACCAGTGAAAGACGCCGGGAAGGCGATGATGCAAACAGACCGTAGTGGCTCCAATGGCGAAGGCGAAGACGTCCGTGATGGACGTGATGGTGATGGAGACTCCAGCCTGCCTCAACGCTTCTCCCACTCGTTCCTCCGGGTTCAAAGTCCTTTCTTTTGACACCACGTTCTCCAGGCACTACAGCAGCATCGCTTTTCGGTTATGTTAGTTAGCCCGGCGGCTACCAGCCGCCTTCCAGTCGATACATGACTGCCCCTGGCCCACTGGGTACACGCTGCTTGGGTATCATTAATTGGGAAAGGAAATAGCTGGAATAAAATGTCGCTGCACGGTTAATGTGAGGATTGGAAGTTCGATTAACTAGATTATATTATTATTACATACCAATACCAACGAAATTATTATTTTGTGATTTTGCGCGCCAGTGTGCTAAAAGCCTTCCACCTGCTTCATCGATCTTATCAAGATCATCAGTCAATAAAATTTTGACGTCGCATACTCTCGCATGACTTGATTTCTGGAAGAGTATGAGATGTGCTAGTATTAGAGTAGAATAAAATCCGGCATTGTCCATCATCGACGGGTTTTTCCCAATTTTTGAATACCCCAATGCATATGAATGGCAATTCTTGACAAACATCTGAAACCCCTGCTTTTCTTTCTATAGCCAGTTGTGAGATTTTGATCTCTTTGAAAGTTGAAATCCTGACTGATTCCAAACAAATTTGACAAAAGAAACAGGACTCTGAATGTTCCGATGGGGTCGTTTTCTGAAAAAATAGTTATTAAGTTATTCTTTTAAGTAAAAAATTTTCAGGCGTCATCGTACAACGCTTCAATCATCGCGGACCCGCATCGCAAGGCTTTTCCCTTCATTCATACCTCAAGCAGCACGAGTGGACGAAAACCTCGCGAGAGACGAGACTCAGAGACGCACGGAGGTCGTAACGAGTCACCTGGATGATGACGAGCGAGTCGTCGATGCCGATCCCGAGGATGAGGAAAGGCATCAGATTGTGAATCTCCGTCGGGATGAACCCAATGAAGAGGCACAGCCCAGCCGCACTCACGATCGTCAGCCCGATGCACAGCACCACGGCCAGGCCCAGGTAGACCTAAACAGGAAACATTGATCAAGTGCTTTGAGGTCCACCCAAAAACAATACACCGTTAATTAATGTC